CGCTCACCACCCCCGTCCCTTCATCAAGGAGCTTGTTGCCCTGAAGGAGATTGCTGCCGAGGACCCCGTCGTTGATGCTGCTATTGCCTCCATCAACCCCACTGCTTACCAGCGCGGTATCTCCACCTCGGCTGAGCTCATTGACCGCTTCCGCCGTGTTGCTACCGAGGTTCGCAAGGCTTCTCTCCTCCCTGAGGATGCCGGTGTTGCCAGCCATGCTTCCAGCTACGTCCTCAGCAAGTTGATGTTCAAGAAGGAGGGTCTTGCCGCTGGTGACGATGTCGAGAGCATCCTTACCCGCACCCAGACCTACCTTGAGGAGGGTGATCTCGACAATGCGGCGAGAGAGATGAACGGGCTCCAGGGCTGGGCCAAGACCCTTTCCAGGGATTGGCTCGGTGAGGTCAGGAAGGTGCTCGAGGTTCAGCAGGCGTTGGAGGTTATTCAGACAGAGGCCAGGCTGCAGAGCCTGAGGGTGGAGTAAATAAGGATTGTTCGTTACGAAGTAGTAGGCTTAGCACGAATTCCCTTTGTTGTGAGACTCTGTAAGTTTACAGTGGCAATCCGAGACAAAAATAGAGGCGCTTGTTTTCTGGTTGTATTCGTGTGAGTACTTTGTTTTCGTGTAGTGTATGTCGGAGGAATAGATACAATTCGATTGTCCAAACCACTTCAATTTGTGCAATAACAACGGCTAAGTGAGGTTCTTAAAAAAAAAACTCAGAATCTCTTACGGCTTTGCACATGCTATTTGGAAATTTTCCGTGTTGTGTTACCATGATGAAATTTGGGCTCCGAGTTGCGGCGCTGGAACGGCGACTTCTGCAGTGAGGTGAGGGGCCGGGATGGAATTAAGGCACACCATACAAGAACTTTCACGGAATTTCTTCAACTTCATCCGAACATCACTATTTCCCTTGGTTCCGAGCTTCTCATCTCACAAAATGCACGGATGATTGAACCATAAATGTCTCGCCGATTCTTGCACTCACTTCGACCTCTCCACCAGCGACAACTCTCCAGCTTCCGCTTTCGGCCCAACCGCTGCTCTGCCTCCTCATCTTCCCACTCACCCTCCACCAGAGCATCTTCACTCCAAACCAAGTTAACAACACCAGCCTATCATCACTTCACCTCCAAATCTCAAACTCGCTCTCACCACACAACCACCCCGAAAATGGCCTCCTCCCCGCTGCAGCGCACCTACGACGAAGCCCTCTCCCGTCTCGCCCAACTCCAATCCAACCGCACAATCGTCAACCTCTTCGGCAACGATGACTCCAAGAACAAACCCCCCGCAAAAGACCTCAACTCCCTCGCCATTCCTGAAATGCTCTCCTGGCTTTCCCGCGCAGGCTACACCCCCTCCTCCCTCGCCGCCACCGGTCTCAGGTGCGTGCACGTAGCCGGCACGAAAGGGAAAGGGTCTGTCTCGGCTTTGGTTTCTTCCATCATCTCCCAATACCCCTTTTCGGGTCCTGTGGGAACCTACACGTCCCCCCACGTCCTCTCCGTCCGCGAACGCATCCAACTCGACTGTTCGCCCATCTCGCGCGAGAAATTCGCGCTCTACTTCTTCGAGGTATGGGACCGGTTGTCACAGGCCGCACGGGAGGCAGGCGACCCCGTGACGTCAGAAGAAGAGTATGATGGACCTGGCACCAAACCGTTTTATTTCCGGTTCCTGACCATCCTCGCCTTTCACGTTTTTGTGAGGGAGGGCGTCAGGAACGCGGTGATTGAGTGTGGCATTGGGGGGGAATACGACTCGACGAATTTTCTGAGTCCGGAAAGTGTCACGGCGTCAGTGATAACGCAGTTGGGCATTGATCATGTGGCTATGTTGGGTGACACCGTCGAAAAGATTGCGTGGAATAAGAGTGGGATCTTCAAGAAGGGGGTTAAGGCGTTTACGAGGAGACTTGATGGGGAGAGTCAGAGGGGAGTGATGGAGGTGTTGAGGGACAGAGCGCGGGAAAAGGGGGCGGAAAGACTGGTGGAGGTGGAGGATGAAGATGTTGAGCAGTGGAAGGGTGTGGGCGAGGGAGCGAGGCTGGAGGGGCCGTTTCAGAAGTACAATATGGCGTTGGCGGTGGCGGCGGCTAGGGAGCATTTGATCAAAACTGGGCATAAGTTGGAGGGGCCCTTTGGGGAGGAGGAGGATGGGAAGTGGAAGTTGGATGATATCCCGGTTGAGTTTCAGAAGGGGTTGAAGGAGGCTAGTCTTAAGGGCAGGTGCGAGTCGTTCAGGGACTCCAAGGGGACGGAGTGGTTTGTTGATGGGGCGCATACGGAGGATAGTTTGGCGGGGGTTGGGCAGTGGTTTGCGGCCAAGGTGAAGGGAGGCGACGACGAGGTCAACGTCCTGGTGTTTAATCAGCAAGATAGAGACCCGGAGGTCTTGTTGAAGGCACTTCTTGCGGCTGCGCAGAAGCAGAGCGGGACGTCGACGCCGGTGTTCAGCTACGCGGTGTTCACGAGGAATGAAGAGACGGTACCAGTGGAGGGCGAGCCGGAGAGAGACCTCGCGGTCCAGTTGAAGGGGCAGAAGATTGTCCAGGAAGCTAGTGCGGGGACCGAGACCTCGGTCTACAACGCAGTAGAGCCGGCCATGGAACAGGTCCAACAGATCGCCGAGCAAGCGCGTAAAGATGGCAAGACCTGCAATATTCTGGTAACGGGAAGCTTCCACCTCCTTGGTGGCGTGCTCAAGACAGTTGAGTATGTTGAATATTGAAAGTACTAGCTTACTTTTACCCCCTGCCTGCTCTGTTCTATCTTCCTGTACTTTTCTCCCATATTTCCTGTATTTATAAAGAAAGAAAAAAGATGCTGCGAAGCAAAATGCCGAATCCTGTACACACCATACCATGCCATACCATATGAATGATGGGGGAGGGATATCTATAACGAAAAGTGTTGAAAACTGCCGCCGAACTACTCAAAACCCCTTTTATCAAAGAGCATCTGCCTTTTCCAAAATGCCGAGCGCGCCACCCACGAGGTGAAGGCTGCCGGTGATGAGTGCCTGCACTTTCTGGTCGCCTTCCGTGGGGTCTTCTACCAGGTTCCTGGCCTTGTTGATGGCCTCCTCGATGGTGGGGATGAGCATGACATTCGCGGATGGGTCTAGAGTGGACCACCTCTCGGCGAAGACTCGTTGTTGGGTCATGTTCTCGATGTCCTTGGGATTGTACTGATGGTTGACAAAGTCTGTTTGCAAGTTAGCATTAGCTGATGATGGAAAGAAAGGGGAAAATACGGAAACATACCCTTCTTGTAGCCAGTCTTCGCATATGTCACGTTCGTACAGAAAATGACATGGCTGAAGCCAGTTCCCTCGGGATCAGCACTCTTGACGGTGTTGCAAAGCCCATCGAGGAAATCAACCGCTTCGGACCGCCCTTGCTGGTTGAAGATGAGCACCTTGGGTCCGTTCTTGCCCTTCTTGACGCACTCGTCGACGAACCATCTCCCCGCCACCTTCAGACTGTCAACAGTATGCGCACCATCAAGATGCCAAACAGCCTGCTCCTCCTCCTTGACCTCGCATCGGCCACGCCAGACGACCTGTTCGAGACCCTCGACAAACTCGGGCGATAGGCTCTCAACACGGGGCTTGAAAGAAGGATCCAGCTTCTTCAGCGCGGTCTCAGCGAGCGCAATAGCCAGCGTAGCATTCTTCTTCTGGAACACGGCGTCAGGACGGATCTTGACTCCCTGGAGTCTAGGATCAAGCTCAAGGATCTTGAGATCAACACCCTTTTCCACCGCCCTGTCCATGAGCACCTGAGCCGCAGAGGGAACCTGCTCAATCGTGAAGGCCGGGCTGCCCGTCTTCATGATCCCAGCCTTGTGCCAGGCAATCTTGTCGACGGTGTCGCCCAGAACGAAGACATGGTCGATACCGAGGGTGCTGATACCACTAGCCACGGGCCGGTCGACGACGTTGGTGGCATCGTATTCACCGCCGATGCCTGTCTCGTAGATGGCCACATCGACGCCCTCGGATAGATAGACGTGGTAGCTCATCAGGGTCAAGTAGCGAGCGTAGATGGGCTTGCTACCCAGCGCTACCTCATCCTTGGCCACGTCTGACGCCTCAAGACGATCCCAGACGTCGAAGAAGTAGCGGGCGAACTGCTCCTCGGAGATGGGCTTGGAGTCGATACGGATGCGTTCTCGGACGGCGATCAGATGCGGGGAGGTGAAGAGACCGATGCGCTTGGGGATGCCCGGGTGTGTCCGTTGGTGGCGCGTGAGAAGGGAGTCTACAAAGGCGCAGGTGCTGCCCTTGCCCTTGGTGCCGGCCACGTGAACGATGTTGAGACGGTCGAGGTCTTGCGACGAGTAGCCGATGCGGGCGAGGTAGGCTCGCATTTCCTTTACCGAGTGCGCATCGGGGCGGATGCCGGCTTTGCGCCGGGCTTCGATGACGGCGAAGGGGGTTTGGAGGGAGTTGAGCGCGTCGATTGCGTCCTGATATTTGGGATGGTGAGTGTTTTGAGTTTCGGTAGTAGGGTTGGCAGGTTGGCTTGACTTACGTTGTATGTCCTAGCGTTGGATGTCATGGTGCGTTTTGACGTGAAGTAATTGGTGATGGTGAGTGACCTCAAAGGGGAGACAAGGGGAAGTCTGGAAGCGATTGGCCTCAGAACATGGTGCATCAGGCCGTCGGTATCGAAACGATGGTGAATGAGGCTGTCCTATGATACCTACGTAGCCTGGTGTTAGGATCCCATCAGTTGACATTCAATCCGAACTCACCTTTTTCACTCACAATCCGATGAAATATTACAACTGAATGCTAAAGAAGAGATGACGGGATGTTCCGTTTCGCGATGCTTGGCTTACCATTCGGTTGGAAGTCTAGACACGCGCCGGACGTCAGTGACGCATTTCCAACGGGAACCCCGCCAAAAAGCATTTAGCCCCACTTGTCCATCAGCTACCGCCAGGCCCTTCAAAAGCCGACTTCACGATAAAAGTTAGATATCCACGGCAAGGTGGCCGAGCGGTCTAAGGCGCCAGGTTCAGGTCCACTTGAATTTACTCTCACGAGTTTCCTGGTCTAGAAATAGGCGCGAGTTCGAATCTCGCCCTTGTCAATTCTCTTCTTTTTCCATGTCTTTCCACTTCATCTGATGCATATCTGGTGCGGATGATGGCCTGTTACTTATTTTTTGTTTCCCGAGCTACCCGCCATGCCTTGACGGGTAGGTAAGCTTTGATAGGATGAAAGAGCACTCGCTTTTCCGGTCTAAAACTATCGCCGAGAAGGGATGGAAGGAGACGTCTTCACCATAGCTAGCAATATCAACTGCCGCCAACGCCTTATAAGTCCGGTCTGGGTCCGACGCCGCCAAGCTTCGCGATGCAATACTTTAAGATGGTTGTACAGCAGCAGATCATACGCACCGCGTTATATAGGACCTGCATCCCCGCTGCCCCCCATCCATTCAATGCGCTGACTGACGGCTCTGAAGATCACCAATCCATCCTAAACACAAAAGAACAATCCCTTTGAGATGCCAAAAAAGTTTCTGCCTCTCACCTGATATCAATTCCCGAGCCAGAGCCATCATGTCTGGCCCATGTCTCGCCCATGCCCGGCCCTTCTAGCGGATACCGTCGGACAGGCGCTCCGTCGCTGATTGGCACGGCTAAATGGGCTGGATAAAGTCGAGAGATGTGGAATTGTGGGAATGCGGCTGCGTGGAGAGCGTGGGGTTCTGTGAAACCGCTGCAGGGCACCCTAGCTCCGGTGTAACGGGCAAGGTACAACAGTACGTGCAAAGATGATGTATTGGATTAAGATGACCTCTTAATCTACTGTGTGGAGGCCAGTCTAGCTAAATACAAGATATTAGATACTAGACTGGCTAGGCCTACGCCTGCCGTAGCCTTAACTCCACCGAGTCGGGTAGTAGCCAGTATTCTAACTAAATAAGTGCATATAGTACCGTACTATGCCTATCTTAATCCTAGGGATCGCTTACAATCTGCCCCCCCCAAAAAATGCAATGCGCCCTCACGAGCTAAATCTAATCTATATTGTTATATAGCCTTATTCTTTTTCTCGAAATCCTCTAGTAAAATGCCTGCTTCGTCTCCCAATTGCTTTAGGCTTACCCAGTACTCGTATTCAGCGCTTAATCCTTCGTATCCTACTAAATATTTACCGGCCTTTTCGCGCAAGATTACGCGCTTATAATTTTAAATTACTATTGGTCCGGCTTAGGGTAATTATTTACCGTAAACATTAAATAGGGCTGGCTCGAAATAATTAACGGATATAACGTTATATATTTTCCAAATTAGGGGTAAATTTAATCTATACGCCAATTACCTAATTCGTTCAACAATTTTCAATAGCCTAGCGTATTACGGTCCAAATTTCCGTAATTTTATTACTTTCGGTACTATATATCCTTTGTAAAGGCGTAGTAGGATTTAATCGCCGGCGTTAAAGAATTTTGGTTATCGTTATTTATTATAATTATATTTAATATTTATCGTTACTAATTTAATATTATTTTACATAGAAATATATTAATTAGGCAATTTAATACCTAATATCGCCTCCTTACTATTAATTAAATTTAGGACTAGATTTAGGGTAAACCCTAAAGTTACTTCGTTTAGACTTACTCCTATTACTGTTAATTTAGTGTTATTGTATTCGAATTAGAATCGCGGGATAATTCCGTCCTAATTATTAGGTTTTTTAAAGCAATTAATATAATACTTGAGCGCGCTTTAAATAATCTAGATTAAACGTTTAATTACTTCGTTTATTTATAAATAGTATATTATTAAATATAGTAATTGTATTCTAAGTCTATACTTATATTTTGCCTAAAATCCAAAAAGAAATTTAGGATTTCGGTCTAAAATTACTACTTTCAATATTTCTTAATTATAGGATAATAGGGTTATATATAGAGTGTCCGCCTATTACTCCGCTATTTATATTATTTTACTTAGAAATAATAAAATTTATTTAGTAAATTTATTAATTACTACTATAATAGTATCGTAGCCTTAGTTCGATATTAGGAATTTAAAGATAAAATTAATATTAATTATATAGTATGGGTAGGATAGATTGAAAATTAATTATATATTACTATATAGCTTATACTTTTTCTTATTAAGGATTTAATAAGTCGGGCATCCTTTAAAATAACGTTTGAACTCTTATATTCCGTATAGTATATAAAATTAATTAAAGTATAATATTAAACGGTTAAAGCCGAAGTAGTTTTAACCGTAGATAATTTTAAATATTTTAAGGTAATAAATTCTAAGTATATAGAATCGTTTCTACCCGTCCTCGGTTTTCTATAATAGACCGTCCTACTATTCGAATAGTAGTATTATAGTATTGTAACCTAATAAAAAGTTGGCGCTTAACGTTTAGCTTAATCGTTTTTAAAACGGATTTATTTTATAGCCGTCGATTATTTTGCGTTAGAAAGTCGGGTTTATTTAAATTAAAATTATTATAAATTCTTATTCTAAGTTAATAACGGCTTTGGGGTCTAGGGCGCCGTTTTGATAGAGTACTTAGTAAACTACCTATCGTTTATTATAATCGTTTAGAAAGTATTTTAATCCGCCTTTAATAATTAAATTTAATAGGTTATTATTTTAATAAAGTTTAAATAGGGCGTCTAGGACGATATAAAATTTATTAGGCTTATAAATAATATTAATATTGCGTTTAAAAGTATTAGCGTATTCTATTATTCTTAAGAATTTTTTATTAAATATATTTAATAACGTCGAATTAATAATATTTACGCTTTAACGGACTAAATTAATAATAATTTTATAATCGGTATATATAGTTACTAGCGGAACCCGGGTTATATTAATCTATTTATAGTATTTAATTAAGGTTTAAACTAAATTTAGGACTTCTATTTCTATTAATTAATATCGTTTTTCGGCTATTATTAAAACTTAAGAAATGAAAGTACTATCTTATATTAATTTGCGTAAGGGGTATACGGTAATTAAGCCTAAATTATTTCGTAATTAATTGACTTTATTATTTCGGATATAGTATATTTCAATACTAATACTATATTTAAATATATTAAAGTCGATAAATAGCGGTCTTGTAGGTACGAAAATTTAGAGGGTAGTATTCTTAATTAGTGCCGTTTTTACGGCGTTAAAGGATATTAATTCTTCCTTTATAAGTAGAACTAAAACTACCGCTCCTGCCCAAGTTTTGCGCTTAACGCCTTTATAGCCGTATTAGCGTAATATTATAATTTTCCTTTTTTCGAGCGGATTAATAATAATATTATATAAGGGAACGTTTTTACGTAAATAGGTTACTAAACCGATAAAATAATTTAATTAAATTAATATCGTTAAGAATATTAATCTAATAATTATTACCAATTTTTCCTAAATTATAAATATTTTAAATCCGTTAATTAAGCGGCCTAAAACTATTACGTTCGGGAAGGCTACGAAAAGTTTTAATAAACTTATAAATATATTTCGCTCCTAGAAGCGTTAGAATATTTAATATAAGTCTTTAATATATTACTCTAAAGTTATTAAACTAATTATAATATTATCGTAATAAGATTCCGCGGCGTTAATATCTATAAATATTAAATTTATTTAGCATTAAACGTAGGCGTTTAAATTTCTATAGCCTATTATTACGTAATTAAATATAAATTAACCTTCGGATATTATAATTATAAATACTTATCTAAATTTAGGGTAGACTCGCTATTAATAATAAAAGGCAATAATATTTATAATAGTAATAAAGTTTACGTTTTTTACAATAATATTACCGATAATTTCCTCTTATATTTTTATTAAATATATATTAAGAATAATATTTTTATTAAAGGTTTATATATTAACGACTATCCGGCCTTTTTTTAATACCGTCTAGTGTTATCCTCTATACAACGAATATTAAGAACGAAAACGGTATTTAATACCTAATTTTAGTAATTTTTTCGTCTTCGAAGAGTATTTTAATTTAAATTTGAATAATATCCTTTACTATTAGTCCCTACGGGTAAATTTTAGTATATTTTAATATTTTTATATATTAATTAGGCTTAAAATTAATACGTATTTATTCGTCCTATAATATATCTATAAAGCCTTTATCTTTAAAGACGTCTTTAAATTCGTTAAATAGCTTGGATATTATTTTTATAAATTCGGGGCTTAAATTGTAAATTCGGATGCTAATTTTATATATATAGATTTGCAATTTAATAATTTTGATTAAATTTGGTACGTATTTTTCGAATAAATAATATACGAAGGTTGCAGCTTCTATTCTATTTTCTTCGCTAATTTCTACCGCGAAATAATCGGGATTAATTAAAATAAAGTAGCCGAATTATTAATTATCGTAAATTTTAATATAATAAGGGTAAGGATTATATACGGTAATAGTTTTTAATAATTTAATCGTTAATAATATATAAATACTAAAATGATTCTCGCAATTTATAGGTTTAAAAATATAATCCTACGTATTATTAATTTCAGTATAATTAATAGTTAAAGCGGTAGAAAACTTAGGAATAAATCGAATTAGTCCTATAGCATAGACGTTAATATTAAATTTTTGCCTACTTTTATTTCTATTAGAATTTTAACCTTATATAAAGTAATATAGGCGCGGCAATTTAATATAAAAATATTTATACCTTCAGGGCTTAAAATATTTATACCAATTAATATACGGGCGGCTAAATCGTTAACGAAGGAGACCTCTCGCTTAATTCGGGCTATTATCCGTCGGCCCGGATTATTAAAGTCTAATCCTTAAAAATATATTAATAAAATAATATAATTTTAGGACTTATAATAGTTATTACCGATTCTTCGTATTATTAATAAAATCGACCTTTTTCTAATAAAGATATTAAGGTAAAATTCTTTAATTTAACGCCTATTAGCAAAAGATTGTAAATAGCCTATATGCGTATATACATTATATTTAATAAAATAGTCGCTAGGATTAAATATAATTTAAAATTATAAATAAATTTAGGTTTTGAAGCCGAAATTTGTACTAATATTAGGCTTTGCGTTAATTATTAATCTT